GGGCCCGGTGGCTGCAGCAGTGTCCCAAGGCTGCCGGCTGGGGAGCCTGAACTGTGGTGTGGGGGGAGCTTCCAGCGTGTCCTTGGCCAAGATGGGTTCCAGTGCTGCTCTACGGGCTGCTCTCTCTTGCTGGGCTCCTGCACGTCCTACTCTGGACTGACGCTGCTGCCCCAGTGACAAGCGCAAGGGGGCTGGCAGGGGACAGCAGGGCTCATGTCCCTGCTCCGGCTTACTCTGTGCACATCAACTCTCAGCTGCATACGGGGCACAACTGCATGTCCCCTTGGAGGGGGAGGACAGGCATTGGCTGTAGCTGAAGCCAGGCAGGCAGCTCAGCTCCCCCATCCGCCCCCACAGGCTGGGGGTCAGTGGGAACACAGCCCCACGCCCTGCCCCATCTCCCCTCCCGCACCCAACCTGTCCCCATGCCAGAGCCCCCCTCCCGTCACACAGTTCACCCCACACACCCCCCCTCCAGCCCCAATGGAGCTTGGCACTGCACAGAGGAGACATCTGCATATGGGGCTGTGCTCCCCCAGGCTCTGGCTCCCCTGGCCCCAAAAGTACTTTCCCCTGGCTCCATGTGTGTCCAACCCCTTTGGGCACCCTCCCACCCCCCTCTGCCAGTCTCCCTCACCCTCCACAGCCACAGCCAGCAAGTGGGAGCAGCCATGGCCTCGGCACTGCACCCCACGTGCCCCTAAATCCAGCTCACCTGCAGGCTGGTGGCATGTGTCCCCCAAAGCAGCTCCTTCTTCAGCCCTACCTCCTCTTCCGTGCCCGTGGTAGAAGCACACCAGGGCCAGGAAGGGCACCCTGAGCCAGGGGAACGCTGCTCAGCCCCAGGAGGAGCCAGGGAGGGGGTCTCACCCCAGCAGGGAGAAGCTGCAATGTCACGCCTGGGTGACAGGCATCACCAACCATGGCGGGAAGTCACCAGGCTGAGCCCTGTGCCACACACAGGTCTCCTCTTAACCTCACCCCTAACATACCATTTTGGAAGATGAAAGCAAATTTCTTTCTTCGTTTTGGGAGGAAAAGAAAAAAAAAAAAAAAAATCAACAAAGCCACAGCCCCCCAGGAGCCTGTCTGCATCTGCCACCAGAAAAGGGGCCATGCCCAAGGACAGGGGTTTGTCCCCAGGGTGTTTTATCCTTCCCCCGAGCCTCTGCCCAGGTGCCCCACCAGCGGGCTGGCGTGCAGCGGTGGCCCAGGAGCCTCCCCGATGTGTCACTGCCTCCCGCTCACTCCCAGCCCACACGTGCTGCGAAGGCCCTTGCGTGACCCGGCGGGCACCGTCCAGACCAGACACCCCAGCGATGGGCTTGGGGATGGGGACACTAAAGCCAGGCAAGGGGCTCTCCTGTTGGCGGGACCCCTGGAGCAGGGGGGCTGCCCAGGCTCCCGGCACCCCGCGGACACGTCTCCCGCAGGCGGGACGTCCCCGACTCGCCAGA